CGCGCCGCCCGCCCCCACCCTAGCCGGTGTCCGCCGCCCGGGCCCTGATTGGGCGTGGCTTGAGCTCCCGGGTGCTCATTGGCGCCGCCAAGCGCTCGTCTCCGCCCCCTTCCGCCCCCGCGAGTCGCGCGCGGGAGCAAGCGCTAGCAAGGTAGGTGGCGCGGCGGTGAGCGCCAGTCAAGGGCGCCCGGAGAGTGACCGCGGGACCCCGCAGCCGCCATCTTCCGGCCACCGACCCCGCCCCCCGGGGGGCGCGGCCAGGTGCTGTTAGAACGCTGCTCTGTTCAGTCTGTCCGCGGCGCGGGCCATTGCCGGTTCTCTAGTTTAACTCTCCCGGGTCGCGGGCAGGGGCTCCGCACTCCCCAAACAGGATTCTGGGCCAGGCTGGGGTGGAGACGGTAAAGACATCGCTGATAAAGGGGAACGCTGCTCAGGCCCGATGACACAAGCCACTGAAACCTCCTGGCCTTCCCATCTGGCTGTCCCGGAAGCACCTTAGTATTCGGGGCGCCGTGGCGGCCCTGAAAGTCGAGTTCGAGCCCTCATCTCACCGCGATCCCCCCATTCAGAGTAGACCGGTGGCACAGCCCGAGAGCCCAGGACACAGTCCAGAGAGAGCCCTGTGGGCAGGCGGTCGGTCGCAAAGTGGGAATGCGGAAGCCCTTTAGTAAAGGGGCCGCAGAATGGAGTTAACTTGGGGCAAAGGCTCTGAGTGTGTAGTAAGTAGCTGCCCTCTCCCTTTGACGCAAAATTGTCACCTAAGGCAGGTTAACAGGTTTCCTAAAACCTACCTTGAATCACCCTTGAACAACCGGGCTAAACGATTGGAAGGGTGTTATTAAGTTACTCTTCCATATCCAACATTTAAAACGAAACTGCTGGATGGTCAGTAGGAAAATAGTTACTTTATTGTTCTATGCTTATATTTAAGTACTTTATTGACAAACGAGGAAAAGATATGGAGACCTCTCGGTGTGTTGTGCTCCTTTCAAGGCACTTAGGAATTTCCTTGTAGCTAAACATTTGCAGTTTTAGACTTATTTTTAAACTGCCAGAGGGTGCATGCAGTTGCCTGAGGGAGAGACAGGGAGAGGGATAAAGCACCCCTCAAAGAATTGTGGTAATGCTACAGTCCCTTCTCCTCCTTTTCTCCATCTGGTTGGGATTTTGTCCACGGCACTAATACAACCTAGAGTATTTTTCCAGCCCCTGGGGACTGAATTTCAACTGTGGTAAACCAGCCCTAGATGTTCTTAAAAAAAAAGAAAAACTTAAAATAATTTTATTAACTTTATTATTACTCTTTTTTTTTTTGAGAGTTTTTTTTTTTCACTATAGGGTACATGCGCTCGCCAGACAGACAGAGAGAGACATAGAGACAGAAAGCGAGAAATCACCCCCCAGGGGGGATGGTCACGCTGCAATCCCTTCTCCTCCATTCTCCTCCCGGGATCTTGGGCACGCACGCACACGCCCCCAGTGTGAGTTTTAAGCCACCGGGTCCGGGACGCGAACCGCGGTCGACTACGTGGGAGTCCAGCGACATAGCCATTACGCTAACTGCTGGTTCCCACTTTATTATTACTCTTTTTAAATTTAATTTAGTGTCATGCTCTCCATTTTAAGTCTTCCCCCTACATTAACCTACACTTCCAGGTTTTGGTTCCAACCAGACAAATCAGCTAAACACATAGGGGCAGCACACCAGGCGGTCTGCTAAAACAGGTGCAGCTGGGGTAGGGCATGGTGAGAAAGCAAGCTTCCAGATCCGGGACTCAGTCCACGGTCAGCCACATGGGAATCCAGCACCTTTAACTACTACGTCACCTACCACCCCCAGCTTTAGATATTCTTAATAAAAGTAAATATTTCCCCAAAGGAGAAAAAAATATATTTTCCTGAGAGTTGAAATTTAAGATCTCTCCTTTCTATCCAGGCTGCCTGATTTTACCGTGAAGATTGGTATTGACATTTATTTCCCCTTGAAAGCAGAAAAGGAGAAATGCGTGTGTAACAAAATAGAATCTGACACTGTTGAGCCAGGCTTTATTCAGCGATGTTAGGATGGCACCAAGCCATATATTTCCTGTCATCCCATTTCTCTTGATTAAAGGAGCCACTGATGGGGAGCCAGTGGGTGGCATCAAAGTTAAGGCAGTGGATCCCACATGGCTAACTGAGCAGTTCAAGTCCTGGACCAAGCAACTTAAAAACATGCAGGGTTGGGAACCAGCAGTTAGCGTAATGGCTATGTCGCTGGACTCCCACATAGTCGACCGCGGTTCGCGTCCCAGACATGGTGGCTTAAAACTCACGCCGGGCACATGTGCATGCGTGCCCAAGATCCCAAGAGGAGAATGGAGGAGAAGGGATTGCGGCGTGACCATCCCCCCTGGGGGGTGATTTCTC